AAATGCAGGCATATAGGCCTAACCAATGGACACTGACAACGGGGGGGAGGGCAAGAGCGGGGGGGGGTAGAGGGTAACGTGGGGACAAGGACACATATGTAATATCTTAATCAATAAAAAATATATTAAAAGCAGTGATACAACAAAAGCCCTTGCAAGAAACTGCCATCAAGAGCAGGGCAGGAGAACACTGGAGAAGGCAGTGAAGTTGGGGGCTGCAGGTTTTAGGATGGGAGAGATCACAGAACCTGTCTGAAGGCTCAGAGGAAGGAACCAGCACAAAAAGCTGAAAGTCCAGAGAACAGAGATGGAGATCCCTGAGAGGGTTATAAGGGGTGGGTCCCAGGATACTGTTGGAGAGAAGACAGGAGGAGGAGAAGGAGAGGGCGGACAGGAAGTAGATACAAGGAAGAACAGTGAAGGAGGAGAGGAAGAGAGGAAGTGCTAGATGTAGAGACATTTAGAAGGAAGTTTAGGTGACATCAGATAGGAGATGAGAAACCATGAATTAAAAAGGACCTCCCATCCAGCCAGCATAGCTCAGTGGTTAAGTGTTGACCTATGAACCAGGAGGTCACAGTTCAATTCCCAGTCAGGGCACATCCTGGGTTGTGGGCTCAATCCCCGGTGTGAGGCATTCAGGTGGTAGCCGATCAATGATTCTCTCTCATCATTGATGTTTCTATCTCTCTCCCTTCCCTTTCTCTCTGAAATCAATAAAAATATATTTTTTAAAAGTAAATAAAATTTTTAAAAAGGACTTCCCCACTAAAAGGTTTGGAATCTAACAGAGAAGTACTACTCCACCATATAATTGCAGTCTTTTACAGAAGGGTAGACAAAAGTAGGTTTACAGTTGTTCATATGAAAAAAGACATGCAGGTTATGATTATTACAATAGCTTTAGTAACTCAGAAGAGTGTTGCACTGCACAGTGCACTTAGGCACAATCTCGTAATTGCTCAAATTGCCGGCCTTCATTGTGTCACATCCTTGCAGTACTTGCTGCACTCAAGCACTTTGGTACAGAGTTCTTTATTGTCATTGGTTTCTTAACATGCTTCTCTTATGCAGTGAATCACATCACCCACAATATGCAGTTTCTGTGAAAAGACTTTATCTTTGACAACACCCAAAAGACGTCCACTGGGGTGAGAGGTCTGGGGACTGTGGTGGCCATGCCACTGGCTCTCATACACCTGTCCACCTGTTGGGTACTTACAACTGTAAATCTACCTTTGCCCACCCCTGTATACACTCAGAGATCACATTTTATTCTGCTTAAAACATTTTAATTGATGTTTTCTCCTAAAGAATATGCTCAATTCATAATGGAGGAGACAGAGGTCATTCAACTAGATCGGGTTTTGTGAAATAACTCAAAACTACTTGAATTCCATCCAGCCTTTAACAAAATTACGTATCAGTGTGGAAGAAAAAAATCCCTCCCTGGAAGAAAAACACAAGCCCTAAATGATCAGGTTAATTCACAGTGTGGACATAAGAAGTAGCAAATACACAGTTTGACATTTGGTCTGCAAAGAGAGGGGGGGAAAGCATATTAAAATATATAGAATAAGCTTTTCTGATCCAAGAAATACTAAAAACTCAGTAGTTTGGGGAGGTGGGGGTTGGCTCCGATGATTTGTAAATATCTAGAAGAGCCCAGATTTTGAAGCCCTGAGGACACTTGCTAAAACTCAGAAATTTGGCACTAGTCTTTGCACACGATTTGGGTTTTCTTTCAGAGTTGATATCTTACCAAATACAGCCATCTGTGTTCCCTCTGGGAAAGGTTCAACTGTTCTGTTGCCATTGACATGATGTTTGGCTATAAAAAAAAAGAAAGAGAGAAAGAAAGAAATGCAAGTTAAGTATAAAGTTCTACACACATGCTAACACATGTCATTAAATGTGTCAAAGAGCCTGCTTCTCATTTTTATTTAGAAATGACACCAAAGCTTACCCTCTTATGACAGTTTCAAGTATTGTGAGTTTGATCTTTTATAGAAGAGCCTAGAGATAGGCTGTGCAAACATGTCATTTTGCAAATGAGTGTGCTGAGGCCTGGCCTTGGGCAGGACTATGCAGAAGGTGGAGGCAATGCCAACCCAGCCTGAGAGCTCCTGCCTCCTGCCAGAGGGGCCCCACGGTGCCAGGCCATCCCCCGGAGAACAAGGGAAGCTCCAGCTTCCAGGGGGGGGGGGGTGGCTTCCACCAAAGACCCAATCAATAAAGTGAGTCATAACGACAGCAGGGTCACATTGAGACCAACTTTTCAAGAACGTATCATTTCACTACAGTTCAAGCACTGTTCTCAGGAGCCAAAGATACTCACCTTCTTAGAGGCCAGACAGACACTCTAGTGCAGAGGTCCTCAAACTTTTTAAACAGGGGCCAGTTCACTGTTCCTCAGACATTCCACACATGCGCAGTGCGGGCCCGGGATGAGTCGGCTGCTAAGCAGGACAGGCAGCGGCGGCAAAAACACCCGGCGGGCCGGATAAATGTTTTTGGCGGGGCGCATGTGGCCCGCGGGCTGTAGTTTGAGGACCCCTGCTCTAGTGCTTGCTACTGCTCTTCATGCACCCTGGTCTCCTCCACCAATCATCCTCCCCATCCCAGTGCACATCAAGGACTTAGGAATGAAAAGTGACCATGTGATTGTTTTCCAGCATTAATTTGTTCCCATGACACCAAACAGCAACCAGATCAGGAATATCTGAATATGGTCCATCTATGAGTATTTTAATAGCATTAGCAACTTTTGAATATGGACATTTATATTAAAAATGCATAAGAGAAGAATGGCTAGAACGCTTTCACGTTGCCTCACGTAGCGCATATATTTTGATGTAATGGGTCACATTAGATTTATTGAACTCTGGCAAAGGACTCAGCACTAAAGCTAGGCTCTGAGAGGTCTGGGGGGAGACTATGACATGTTTTCCTGCCCTTCAGGAGGGTAAACACATTCAAAAGCAAATTTTACCAGAAAGCTGACAATTATGTGCTAAGTCCTAGAATGAGGACTAAAGGCAAAGAGTTCACAGCACAGGGCCAGTCAGTTGGAAAATCAGAGCCAATGACCTGGGGGAATCACAAGTTGTGTAGAGTCTTAAAGGAGAGGCAGGACTTGGAAAGGCAGAGAGTGCAGAAGCAACTTTAGTGAGAACCAGGAGTAGATGCAACCAAGAGTCTAGGGCAGTGGTCGGCAAACCGCGGCTCGCAAGCCACATGCGGCTCCTTGGCCCCTTGAGTGTGGCTCTTCCACAAAATACCACGTGCGGGAGCGCACTTACAGTGCGACTGAAACTCCGTGGCCCATGCGCAGAAGTCAGTTTTCGGAAAGGAGATAGACAAAACAAGTACACAAGACGAGTGTGGATGGGAAGTTTGAAGGGGTTGACCTCAGTGAATGTATCTCAATCAGATTGAGGACATTTTTAGCAAAGGCCAACTTAGGAATCCCTAATTAAGTTAATAACAATGTACCTACCTATACAGTTTAAGTTTAAAAAATTTGGCTCTCAAAAGAAATTTCAATCTTGTACTGTTGATATTTGGCTCTGTTGACGAATGAGTTTGCCAACCAGTGGTCTAGGGCATATTAGAGGTAATATGCTGAGAAGCAATGGCAATGAAAGACAGATTGACAGGCACAGACAGGGTCATGGAACTCCAACCAAACCCTTGGGAGCCCTAAGCACCCTCTGCACCACCACTGTAGTCTTTTAGAACCTGAAGGCTTCTGAAGTTCAGTCCAGTTTAGATGATCCCTTTGGGATACTACTAGTTCAGGGGCTCCCACTCTTCCTAAGTATTTGTGGCACTATCCTAAGAGAAAACCTGAGCGGGGAGTCGGAGCCAGGCCAGGTGAACAAGAGAGCAAGCCCTACAGTAATCTCTAGGCACTAATTGGCACAATTAGTAAATGCAAGGTGAAATGTCAGGTGGCATGGGACTTTATCGCACACTCACTCATATGGTTAGGACCACTGGTTACTGAATACAAAGGAATGTGATGACACCCCATGTGGAGGTCACAACTCTGTTCTATGGTGAGCACTCCACAGCCTTGCCTGTGGTTCCAAACATCTTCCTTTATACACATCAAGAGCTGCACACCTATTCAAATGCACTGACCCACTACTCCCACTCAAAAGAATTCAACCTAAGAAAAATGCCACCTAGAAAAAAAGCATGATATGCATAACAATATTTATTGAAGTATTACTACTTTTAATAATGAAATCTTAAAATCAACTAAATATTCAAAATAAAGAAATTGCTTATAAATTTATAATCCATGATTTCTCAAAAACATGAAATATTATGCTACATATTTTAAATACAGCATCTGATAGATATATAGGAATGAGGAAAAATATTTGGGATAATGGTAAGCAAAAACAACCCTATTACACTCTGGATGTAGATTATAATGACAACTAATTAAAATGTGAATGCTTATGGGGAAAAACTGCCAGAGAAACATGCAAAACTGAAAATAACTAGGGAAATTATGCAAGATGTTTACCTTTATTAATTTCCTTTGTCATTGTTAGATTCTTATTTTCTAAATGAAAATATAATTGCTTGGATTTTTTTGTAAAAAATCAACAAATTAAAGATTTTAAAAAAATTTTCCCCAATACTTGGTTTCCCAGGATAGTCCATCAGACCTCATTTACAAACCAGTACACATTTACAATAGAAAGTGTAGCCTGTTTGACATCTGGGACAGCTCAAAAGCACCTCCAACACAAGCTGACCATCCACTCCAAACTTGACCTTCTTCCAGCATCCCAACCTCTGGGCATAGGACGGCTATCCTCCTACCCGTTCTCTCCCCCTTACCACCCACATCTAATCTATCACCAAATCTAGCTAATTCTGCCTTCCAAACATCTTTAGAATAACTTCTACTGCTTCGCTACACCACCAAAACCACTCCAGCCCCAATTGTTGTGGCCTCTTGGCCTGGAGTCCTCCAAGTGTCCCTACACACCCTCTCTAATTTGTTCTTCCCAGTGTAGTCACATTGCCTCTGAAAAGAAAGTATAACTCTGGTTATATGACACAAACTCCCCAACCTCCTCCCACTGTGGCTTTCCACTGCATTGAGGCTACGTCAAAATTCTGACACAGGCCCCACATGCTCTGCTCACCTCAGCCACACTGCTCTCTTGGAACCAACGACCTTTGTCTGCAACACTCACCAGAGCTGCACCTTATACTTCGTCGCTATTTGGATGAGTAGACTGTAAGCTCAGGGAGGACAGGGCCCGAGTCTCTTTTGGCTCACCACATCCACAATACTAGCACGGTATGGGACATAGCATAGTATTCAATACACTGTTGTTAACCAACTAAGGAAGACATAAACAGTTCTAAAAGGACTCTCTTTAGCCATTATGAAAGAGATATCATTTCATTCACTAAAAACATCTCTCTCTTTATATGTACCCTAGAGGCCCAGTGCACAGATTTGTGCACTGGTGAGGTCCCTCAGCCTGGCTTGGGCCCTCTCACAATCCAGGACCCCTCGAGGGATGTCGGACTGCAGGTTTAGGCCGGATCTCCACAGGGATGTAGCAGTGCACAAAGCAGCAGGTGGCTGGGGAGGAGCCCGAGCCAGGACGGGCACTGCTCCCGCTCATCCTGGCCCCGCTGCACCTGCCACTGCCACTCGGTTGTCCTGCCGTGGAGGCAGGAGAGGCTCACACTGCCGCAGCTGCACTCACCAGCCGTGAGCCTGGTTTCTGGCTGAGCGGCACTCCCACTGTGGGAGCCCACTGACCACCAGGGGGCAGCTCCTGCATTGAGCATCTGCCCCCTGGTGGTCAGTGCATATCATAACTACTGGTCGACTGGTCGTTCAGTTGCTTAGGCTTTTATATATATAGATGTGGCCCTCATACAAAAATGATCATTAAAAATGGACACTCAGAAGTGTCCCCAGCCATATGGCCTAGACAAAGGGACTCCTTTGTTCTGCTCCTTAAATGTCCACTTCCCTCCCCATTCACCTGTTCTCAGCTGAGAAGGCAGAGTACTGGTGGAGGTGAAAAGACTAGAAATGCTAACTGGAGAGGAAGGTGAAAGTTCAAATGCTATTCTCTCCTTACTGCTAAGGTTACCCTGACCTTGTTTTATCTTTTATTCTAGAGCCTGAGCCCAAAAATAATAGTGTCTGTAAACTGGATTTCACATTTCCTTCTGAACTGCAGCCCTAGGGGGACAAAGACAGCCTTCACCAACAAAAGACAGTACAGTTTCAGCGGCTAAGGACATGGGCTCTGAAAACGAGGCTGGCTTGGAATCTCAGCTCTCCCGCTTCCTAGCTCAGTCACTTAGCCTCTTTGTGCCTCAGTTTCCTCATCTGTAAGTTTCCTCATTGGTAACAACCTGGTGGGTTGCTTTGAGAATTAAATGAATTAACATACATAATGCACTTAGAACAGTGTTTGGCACATGGTAAGCACATAATGCACTTAGAAAAGTGTTTGGCACATGGTAAGCGACTTAACTGTTAGACTAGTATTATCATCTTTGTGTGAACTTGATTTTTTATAAGATCTGAATCAGGGATAACAAATACATGGCACTTAGTTACCTCTCCTCCACTTCCATGCACATGACAGACATCCCTAATCAACCACAGCATGCTTTCTCTAACCCCAAATGTGACCACAAAATCCTTTCTCCTCTTAGCACCCCAAAGAATCTCTCATGTGTGCTTAAATCATTTTGTTATTCCTGGTCTAAGTGAATAAAACAGAAAGATGGCACAAAGAAAGAAGCCATTTTCCTTCTCATTTCTGCTTG